CCTATAAATACTGCAGCCGCATGTGCATGAACCACCCTTATCTGCTTATGTCTCTGATGATGGATTCGAGCAGGAATCCGAAACGTCAGGCTAATAAAGCTCTTGTCCCTGCGATCGTGTCTTCTTCTTCTTCTTCTTCTTCTTCTTCTTCTTCTTCTTCAAATCTTATGTTAATCTCCCCGGAGCTGCACCCGAAACGTCGACGAAACGCACGCGAGCATGTCCGCATTTCGAGCCCAGAGCGGTCTTTTGACTATCAAGACGGAATCCTCTGTTTTCGCCAGCTGCTGACAGTTTGGTTGGTCAGAACATAGGTCTTGGTGTTGCATCTCCCCCTCTATACCTTGATGGCCGCCTCGGCCTTTGATCCACCCTCTTCAGCTAGACTCTATTCGGACTGTGACTGATGGTGTCTGGGTTCCTCTTGTCTAGTCACTTTGAGGCGGATAGTCTTAATTGGTTTATAAATTTTGCCTTGACGATGTCCGTTTCGAATCCGTTTTACACTACCATATGCAGGCCAACCCTGACCTACCCGCATATTTACGTTTAATGGAAGGCAGTGATTTCCCCTGAAAAGCTAATCAATTCATATTCATTTTGTATTTTTCAAAAAAGGAATTTTTCATAGCACGCTAACAGCTTTCCGTAAACATGGACGGAATATTGTGCAGAGTATGCCTACTCTTTCTAAAATTCACCTGAAAATTTAATTTTTCTTGCATTGATAGTACCCAAGGGGTACTTAAAAATACAATTCACTTATCTACTTAGTTACATCGTCGTCATCGACCTTCAGAAGAACTTCAACACTGTTACACAAAAAACTGTTATATCAATTGGAATTAGTGAAATTAGATATAACCTTCTCAAATTTGTCAGAAACCTTCATGTTTATGGGCACCAGATGGTGTGTGTCGGTCAAGAAATATCAGATCCTTCTGCGGTCGACAGTGGCATTCCTCACGGTTCAGAACTAGGACACATTTAATCCTAATATAATTGGATGATTGCGCAAAAGATTTGGATTGCGAGGCAGCAACGTTTGCTGATGACATGCAAATTTGGAGTGTAATACGGGCTCTGACGACAACAGACCGCAAACTAACCTAAATCGGTAGGATGAGCGACCAAATCGTTGGCTAATACGGTGCAACCCAGGTAAGTGCACCATAATTCGAATAGGTGACCCAGTCAGATCCGCAAGCACAATAAATTGTTTTCTGGGTGGTGTAGCTTTACAAGAAGTGGAATCCCACAAGAACCACCGTGTGCTGACAACAAATTGCTTAAAACACTCCGCTCGTTCCTTGAGAGAGACAAAAATGCGATGTCGTATTGAAATTCATCTAGTGGGCATTTAGGGATTTTGAGAAGCACCTCCGTTCCAGGATCTTCGGGGCATTTTTAAGGTTGCATTTGCAGTGCGGCATACAAGTTCAGGATCAAAAAAGGTTAGTAAGAGTTCAATGGCTAGTTACAAAAAGTCTCTTCCTCTATGCAATCCAGCTAAAAAATTTGACCCACTTTCCTTCGAGTTATTAGCCAATGCGTGTGGACCTTTACAAGCGTTCCGCTTTGTGAAGGGGTTGGATTACAGCCTGTCTTTTGAGGACTTCTTTGAATTTGTCCCCACAACGAATCTCCGAAGTCGCCGATTTTTACTACGCGTCCAGCTGACAGGGCTAAATGTACTCAAGTTCCTCTTCTGTGACAATTTGAAGCTGAGATATCACCGACAATGGAAAGATTTAAAAGGAACCTGGACAGATTTATTTTCCGATATAAGCAAAAACGATGAGCCGAAATGTCATACCACTGCAGTTGCTTTTGGACGACCCCAACCTTCTCTGGTTCTCTCTGTACTGTGCTTAATTTCACATTGCAAATATGGTACTAAAAGGCTGAAGATCGAACTGAAATGGAACAAGTGTCATCCCTGCACTCTAATGGACAGAGGGTAGATATCCTATAACGACAGCTAACACTCCATTTCATATGATGAGCGGAAGCGTGTTCTCAATGTAGCTGGCTTTGAGTTCCTAGTACGTACGTCAAACGCTTACACACCTGAATATGACACTAAACATCTGTAAAAACTCCTACAGCTCACACACACAATAGCCCACTCAAAATTGCGATCTAGTAATGAACACCAAACGGTCAGACGAAAGGGACCCCTTACGGACACGGTGGTCTAGTGCGATGATATCAGTCCTTACGTCCGGTAAACGCATTAAACTTTTTTAAGATTGAGGAACACGTTCGTGGTTGTGGACGTCATAAAATTCCCTACCTTAGATTTCTGAGACGCTATACGCCTGGATGGGCGTTTCTGTCGCACGCTCTGACCAGCTAACGTTCTGCAGACAGCGCTTCCCAAATGCCACGTGATACGCTTTTGCAATAGACAGACCGCAACTCGTACATACACCGAACACCGAAGCTTTGGTAAACGACATATCGACCAGTGACACTAAGGACGGGACCACCTCTGAAGGAGGGGTGGTCATACAGAACCGTTAGGGGAGTTGTTTTTTGAAGTGAAGGAGGAACATAACCGAAGATTGGCAGGACCGATTCGTTGGCAATTATCTCGTACAAGGCCCCTACGCTTAGTAGTAGAAGCTTGATTAGGCTGGGAAAAAATACTGAATCTCTTGTGGCACAATCCAAAATATGAGGACCTCGACAGAATCCACACAAATTAAGCAGTTCATAGACGGCCTTATTATTCCCGAACTCCAACCTAGTATTTTAAAATTTTAAAACCATTCAATACTTGATGGCTCGACAGTCGCATCCGACAATGTCCACCACGTGCTCCACGACAAGATGAAGCAGGTAAGGTGACACATACAATAGAACTCGACAACAGTAATAGGGAAAAAATGATAGGTAAAGCAACTATACCGACAGGGAGAATACTGCATCGAAAACCAGAGGAACTTTCCAAATGACACTTCAAGAATCCTCGACAGTTGCATAAATCTTTAAACGAACGAACAAAATTTAGAATTTGCATCTTGACGTTTTACTAGGCTGAAGTGCAGGCGGTGGACACAAAGCAGAATTTATGGACCAATACACCCTGACATCCCGTGAGCCCTTATCGTCAGTCTAACTTCTTTGGTCTTTGCGAAAGGTTTGAGCCTTTTGTGGAGGTCCCCTTTGAGACTGTTAAGGCCGCGAGCGAGTACTGGATTTTGGCAGATAAGTCTGTCTGAATCTGTCATCAAGCCTTGGGCTTTCTGAAGCTCCTAGGGGTACTAAAGCTCAGATTTAGATTATTTATGGTGCGTTTCGATTCCATATGGTAGTCGAAGTGGCTCACCTGGTTGTAGAGTAGCATATACCTAGGTGCTGCCTGCCCTAAGTATGTAATCTGTGGTTCTCCATTGTGAGGGCTGTTTACGTGCCATGTGGACGTTTAGATGGTGCTACTCACCGGATTTTCTCTATATAGACGTGTTAACCGAACACTACGACTGCACTCAGAAATACAATTGGAATATAGTGCTCGCAGTCAGATCTGAACGGCCGTTGTCCACGTTGTTTTAGATTGAGTGTAACCTCTTGCTAGCAGATTATCACTTTCACGCATAATTGACAAGGAAAAATGGAGGTTGGTTCCCGGTCTCCTTTGTCCTCCCAGCTGTCGACAGACGGTAAGTGACTGGTCACGAGATATTTGCCTTCTGTCAACACGGCTATTGCTTCCAGAAAGACTAGTTTATCTGACCAAAAGTTAGCACGGTATCGAAACCTGTTCTCCACTATGGCTACCAACAGCTGACGGCCGCCTGCTTTGTTGACTTTTACCAGCGTCCACTTTCATTCGTCCCTGTTTCCTGTGGCAAATAATGCAGCCAGACGACAAACCGGCAAAAATCAAGGCTGTGGTCAAAGCCACTATCGGTCCATCGTTACGCGAGTCCAGTTCAATACTACTCAGTCATCTCACGCTCGTCCTGGCCTCGGGCATCCTTCCTGTCGGTCCTTTTCACATCTGATTAGTAGACCTTGCAAGTGAAATGTGGGCGAAAACTTAAAGCTTTTGACCATCGTCTTATGAAAATCATCATTCAAATGATGGACATTGACCTCATACCGAATTAGACGGTTCGAATTCTGCGAAAAATCCACATCGATATACCACGCCACCCCGCGTTGCAGACCCACTACATAGCGAATGACCGCCTTCCCTTTCACTCGATCTCAGCAGACTCCCGGGTTAGGTTGACCATGGTGGGACGCAAGCACTGAAAACTACAGGGTTCTAGGTGCACTGTTGATCAGATCATACTACATCCATCTATGTATTTTGTTGACTGCTTCGACACCTTCACAAGACAGAATTGCGTTTGGTGGGGATTGCGTCCCAAAAGACTTCGCTTTGGAGGTCGGGGTCATCACGGCCGAACTATTCCAGCCGGCGGGTAATAAAGACAGGGTTAACGAGTTGTGGTCCGGATTGACGATACAATCTTCCGTGCGAAACGTAATCCGAGAGTTGGATGAAGCAGATAGGACATAAAAGCCATCTGTTTAACCCATCCAGACAATGTTTCACATCCGTACGAGGAATCGTCCTTAAGGAGCCTTTGCATATACACAGCTTTGTCTTTTTACTGAATGCATTGGTTCCAGCGGATTCGGCGAATCCGGGCGAGGACAACGCATCTGGTTGATTAGATAACCTACGTCATCCTTGGCCTGCTCGGTCAATAAGGTCCAACCGTAGGCAGTAGAAATTCTGGTAGCCTAACAGCTTCACATTCTGCCGTCACTTAGGAGATATCTTCAACTTTTGAACCCGAGATGATCATCCTCGTTTTGGAATAACTAGATTTCAACTACACTACATTTCCGCAAAGTAGCTCACCGACATTGCAGCGTCATCGTACTGCTTTGGTTACGGCCTAATGCAACTCTGGAGCGGTTTCTCAGAGCGTGCTAAATAATCTAGTCTATCATGTAGTTGGACAGTTTGTTGGGGCATACGGCCATATCGAGCGCTGGAGGTGTCATAAGAGCAACCACTGCCATCGTCATTCACACATACGCAGCCAGGAGGCAACGTTGTACCCGCACATGCTTCTGGTCACACCAGGGTAGTACAAAGTCTTTCCTATCCAAGGACCACACATAGGATTATGCGGCATATCACCAAGTGTCAGTAATTGTGGCAGCTGCATTCCAACTGTAACACAGCAGGCAACTTCATTAAATACAAAAAAACTTCGAAACACGACTTGAAATTCTGACACAACGGAGGTGGACCCGTCGCAAGAGTCAACTAATACGGAATACTGGGTAATCCAAAGTCTCACGTCAATTTCCCCTGTGTATTTTGGATTAGACTGGATCACATGAGCTTTACTCATTGTATTTTAGCCTTAAAAATACCTTTATCTTGCAGACGATGTTAAATCTTCGCTTCGTTTACGCTACCTTCGTTATTGCATTCGGCTCATCTTTCCAGTTTGGCTATCAGACTGGCGTCATAAATGCTCCAATCCAGGTATTGTAACAAGCTATTGTGGCTTATCATCCAAATAACTTTAGTTGATGGAAGAGTTTATTCGCAATGTTACCTTAAGCCGGAACAAGGTACCAAGCAAGGAATTCGTTTCTGCAATGAGCAGCCTCATTGTTGCCGCCTTTCCGATAGGGGGCGTTTTTGGAGCACTTATTGGTAGTCCAATGTCGAACAAAATGGGCAGGTAACTGTGATTCATTCGCTTCTCCATTTTGTTATAGAAAGCTTTCCCTTTTCATTTTAAATGTTCCCATGGCCGCCGGATCCTTGCTAATGATGAGCAGTGTGCTGGCAAATACGTTTGAAATGATCATAGTCGGGCGTATTTTGGTCGGATTGGCTTGCGGTATACGAAACTTCACTTTTCATAGTATGAATAGGTGCTTTTACCGGCATTGCTCCGGTCTACCTGGCGGAAATAGCACCAGTGAACATTCGAGGGGCTGCTGGCATTATCAACCAGCTCGCTGTTGTTACTGCTCTCTTGATCTCACAGATATTTGGCTTAACGGAAATTATGGGGACAGCTACTCTTTGGCCATATCTTTTGGGTAACATGGTATTGCTATTTTTTCCACGTTTTCTTAAGGCCTTACAATAATCCCATCAATTGTTCTCCTTCTTCTTCTGTGGACCTGTCCGGATAGTCCTCGATATATACTTCTAAATCGCCTAAATGAAGAGTCAGCCAAAACAGGCAAGGCTGAGAACGTCTTCTATACTCCTTCCCTTTAGCCCTACGATGGTATCGCGGCCCAAACGTCAACATTGATGAGGAGCTTGAAGAGCTCCTCAAAGAACACGTTGACTCAGGTCGACAGAAGGTTGTTAATTTTTGCCCTGTTCACGCCAATGTTTAAAGTTCACTCTCATCAATCTTTTCAAGACTCCACATTTACGGGCTGCCATACTGATCGCGATTGTTGCCCATCTGTCTCAGCAGTTCTCAGGGATTAATGCGGTAAGCGATCTCTGCCTAGTTTTAACGCTTATGTGAAGCCGATATGCACATCGTCAAACACGCTATCTACTGTGTTGTCCTTGTAGGCGCTTTTTTACTCCACGGCTCTCTTCCTTTCCCTCAACTTCACTTCAAGTCAGGCAGCTTATGCTACCCTAGGAGTGGGCGGCATGATGGTTCTAGTTACCCTTATCTCAATTTTCCTGATTGAGCGGTTTGGACGTCGGAAACTACTGATACCGGGCCTCAGTGTAATGTTCTTCTGTACTATCCTAATCACGATTGGTTTGGCCGTCAGGCATTCGAATCCAAACGTTGTCTACTTGGCTATTGCCTCCATATACGTATTTGTTGGTGGCTTCGCAATCGGTCCTGGTAAGTCATTTCATTTTGGTCTCGCTGTTAAATTTGCCTCGGCCGAAGTAGTGGATTATATTTTTTAGCTGAAATAGCAATTTATGTAAATACGGGGGCTCCTCAGTCTTTTTGCGCAGCTTCGCAAGCAACCGGAGCAAGAAATCTTTCAAAAAGCGCTGTCTGTGGTCTTTAAGATGTATAAACTGTTATCCGAAACTATTTATCAAGTAGTATTGATTCTTGGATGTTACGGAATGAAGGAAGTAGGGATACCCACAGTATTAAAAAAGTAAGCTCCAGGGTGGTGTCGAACCACTAGTCACTCGAATTCCGGTCAACTGCTATGCCCACTGAGCTGTCAGCGGTCCTAGCGGCCATGCAAAAGTCAACATTTTCAATTATCAGGGCTTTGCATATTGTAGTCATCACATGCATGCACCGGGCGTTGGATAGTTGTCCGTCGGTTGGACAATTTATGTTGATTTTAGGTCGCGCTTCATGGTAGACATCCATCGTTACGGCGGAGAGCATGAGGCTGCAGAGTACGAGAGGGAGTATACAGCCCCGCTTCACCGAAAATGCTTCCTAGACTAACCCATTGTCCATGTTGCAGACTCTAATGCCAAACAGATATTCTCTTTTCGTAAGTCAACGGTCAACGTGTTTCACCAGCACTCCTCAGGACATGCCTTCTAACCCCTCCCTTGCGAACAGTTACCCAGTGCATCCATAAATAGGGTAATCGAACTCCACAGTTGGTCTGAACCTTGTTACATTTGAAGGACGGACCGAATTAGACTGGGCCGATTAGGGAGGTTTGCATGTCAATCTTGCTGGTCAGTACCCGTGTGGTACGCGTCGACGTGGGTCCATCCACATCAGTGTCTTTGTTCGCGTCTACCTTCGGTCCTCCTAGCGTCGTCTTGCCATTGGAATATGACAGGCTTGGGGGGAGAGGATGCAATAAGTTCTGCGAAAGTCTGTTCTACCATAAATTGGGTCAACGCAAGTCATAATTACGTTCCGTCCGATGGAATGGAAACTATTGGCGCGTTTGGCGAACCTGCCACATGCCAAGTTTCAAGAACTTACGACTGTTGACTGCGCTGTTTCCAAAATAGCAGTTTCCCCTCACAACAATGCCGTGCAAAAGGTAGACTTCTTATTTAACTGCTTTTTAAATCTGGTGTTTCCCGAATGTCTTCTTCCAGCCTCTCAGTTAATTAAATCATGTAGTATCTTGCCGAAGATCTTTTTTTATTCTTTAGATGCATCTAATGAACCAACATAGAGAGATCGAGCAACTGGGCATTTCCATTGCATAGACTTCTGAAAAGTAGTGGACGACTTCTTCGTATCGTAAACACCAGGAAGAGGTGTCAGCCATTTGCACTTGCGACAGACTGAGGATCAATAGAACTATCTAATTTCATATTAAGGATGTCGTGATTACTCTGGTTTCATATCATTATCTACTGCGCTGACCCAAAGCATTCCTCTGTGTTGTGTCCGAAACTAGTCAGACTGTGCAAGGTGAACTTAGTGTCGCTTCACGCATATCCACCCATAAATATAATTCTTATTACCTTTAGTGCATATTAGGCATAACATAGACGACTTCTAAGCCACCCTTTATCGCCTATTCAGACATCTTTCAGCGCATCGACATCGACGTTGTCATTCTCCATTGACCCATCAGGTTTATGGCACTTTATCTTGTAAAAAGAGAATGCTGCGGCCTCAACCGTATCCACTTTAGCAATTCTATGACCTGCCGACACACATGGCTGAGAAGCTTGCTTTCTTCCCTTTAGGTTCAATCCCCTGGTTTATCGTGGCAGAGATGTTCGTTCAGGAGACTCGTGATGCGGCCATCCTCATAACCGTACTTGTAAATTGGATCAGCCAGATAATAGTTAGCCTGGGCTATATGCAGCTCTTGGTACGTTGTTCCTATGCTCAAAGGCAACTGTCGGTTTTTTGGACTTTCTAATATCTAATGGCATCCATGAACCTATCGAGGCTGCCATGTTGAGTGACTTTTCCTCTAATTTCTTGTTCCGGTTCTCGGCTAACCGTAGCCGCCCATGTTAGTTCGTGCATGATCGAAACTACTATCTTCACCACTGTAGCGCGGATCCACAATAATTAATCTTTATTTTGCGTGTGGAGACAGGACAAATCAACGAAAGCGTAGATCGGTGAACGCCGTTCCCGCGTGACATCGCGTATTCCCGATCGCAGCCAACAGAGCTTGAGCCCGGCGCTCAAACGGTTGGAATGTGTGGAGCTCAAGCTTTCAATGCTCAGCCGGACCTGGGTTCAAACCCTGGGGTGCTTTAACACTTCGAGTTAGGCGGGCAGTGGCTGATGACCAGTAAATCCCAAACGGCCGCTCCATTGTGCTTTTGCTTCGTTGGTGGCAGTTCATGGAGCGCTCATCTTTATTACGTTGACTAAGCGCCCTTCACGTTGATTATTTGTCACCGCTCAAGAAAATCAATTTATGTGCTAGACACGCGCAACCGCTCTTCACCGCGTCTATACCTTGGGGTCAGCTGGCTGAAAAATTAGGTCCTGTGTACTGCTAATGAGTAGGATTTACATGTTAAGGGCATTATCTTTTGTAATTTGCACTCTGCTTACTGCCCCTCCCACACTACTGACGTCTTTTCCTTTTCGATTCAGAACTACCTGAACGACTACTCATTCGTGCCATTCACAGTACTCCTCGCCATCTTTATCATCCTTCTCTATCGTTACCTACCAGAGACGAGCGGCCGTAATCCCCGCGAAGTTGAGGAAGACTTCATAAAAAGAACTGGTCGTGGACTGCCTCCCGTAGGCTCACCATATGTGGAGGAAGCGGACAGGCGTATGTATTTTGATTCCTTTTTTTCCGTCGTTCGTCAGCCACCCGCGCCACCTCATTTTCAGGCTTTGATGATTTTTGTGCTGCATTGAAAAAATACTATCCTTTCGTATCACCTTCTCCCGGGGTACTTTAGTATCCACATAGGTCTTTCTCCTTCAGCCTACCTTAGATGTTTCTGTGAATTTACACTTACTCCAGGATGCTAGTCTAGTAGACGAGTAAAAGGGCAATTAACTGCAGTTTCCGTCGGGCACACGCGCAGCCCTCATGTAAAGTTTAAAAATAGAATTCTCGTTTCTTCCATTACCACGTCCTTTTTAGTTAAGTTGCATTCCGTTGACCCCAAAGTAGTCATTGCAGTCCCCATTCGTGCTCTAACAACTCGGACCCTGCGCCACCTCGGGCACATGGGCCTGCTCCACCACTGAGAGAATACTGTCATTTCAGTGTCTTCCTTTCCCTTCAACCGGGATACTTTAGTGCCAGCGTAGGTCTTTCCTCGTCAACCTTAATATCCTTTCCGTTCCTTCACGACGGAAATTTGATCTGGTCAGTCTTCTGATTACGCACCAAAAACCTTTTCATACTGGATGGCGTCCTGCATTACGAATTACTTAATACTAGGAAATACTGCTGATAGGCAAGGGAGACGGGAATCACAGTCTACGGCCTACTGAATATTTCGTGTAGTTCATGTATGTCTTTGCCCTCTAAAGCGGTAGATGCGCTAGTCAAATACGGGGAACAGATCGGACTCTGGCAGGCATTGTTGAGAAGGTGCACCCGTAACAAATACCAACGATGGGGGTGTTTTGGCAAGCCGAATAGCCGACTCGCGTCGCGCCAATTGCGATCCTTGCCGTCCTCCATTTTTTTTTGTTGGTTAAATCCTAATCAGGTGTTTGTCGTGGACCAGGGGGTGTGGTGGTTTGTTTAGATGCGAGTTTTCACCGTGCCAGCCATCTGCACCCTCTCCTACCTCCGGTTTTCCTGACTATGTTTTGACACCGGATTCAGGTGGGAGAGGAGAGTGTTGTAGATGCTGCGCAAGTCTGCCTTCAGTATAAACCAATTCACGCACAAGTCACCGTCCATGCTCTCACCCTGTTGTGGAGCACACGGCGGACATCTTCGAAACCGACGGTTAAATTGTCGGTTGGAACAGACCCTGTGTTAGGATCTGCACGTGCTTCCTGAAGCCAGTCTTGAGCTGCGCCCTTGAGTGCACTTACAATGCAGTCCGGTGCGTTTTTCTGTTTTTCGAAAGTTATCCTGAATAAAACGATCAATATGCTCTGCATGCACACTCTACTACGAATTTACGCATACTTGAGGGTGCGCGTATGTTAGGCGAGCACAAAGTTAGTCAACTGTAATTTCCGTTGGACACGTTCGTGATCGACATGTCAAGTTTGAAAGCGGAATTTCCTTTTCGGGGACCATTCCATTGGCCCCAAATTGACCTCCCCGTTCCCCACTCGTGCACTGAAAACCCGGGTTCTACTACGACGAGCACATGCGCCTGCATGCCAGCAAACGTTTCTTAGCATCGCCGGATAAACATATTCTACCTATACGGATATTCGTTTTTGAAGTAGCACCTTTCAGACAGCTTTTCATTCCTTCGAGATAATTATACATTGCAAAAGGGGATAAGGTCCGCCTTGGAAATTAACGGAAACAATGCTTCAACCACTTTTTCTGTGTTAGTTAGCAGTAGGTTTCTAGTTTTCTTCTCGATACCACCATGTCGATTTAACTTTTCCATGCTTATTAGTATCGTGAACTTCCACTTAGGTAATAGTTTTCTTTTTATATAGTAGATGTTTTATGAGTTTCAACACATGCTTGCCAGCGTGTGTCATAACTGAGTCAAGGAGACTGGAGGCGGCAGATGGCGCAGGTGGCTGGCATGGCGGAAACCCGCACCTTGGTGCGTGCGACCACACCGGCTGAGACCCCACTGACTGGGAGTGCCATAAAGGCTACATTAAGAAGGAATCATTGTATCCTGGCTATTAGTCCATCAATCGACTACAGCACAAAAACACACTGGGTTGACTGCGAGGTCTGAGCTAAATGTTGAGTTGGGAACCTTCCAGCTCCGGCTTCTAGCACACCATGATAGCCTCAGGCGCAGCACCTACCGCACTCCCTCCTTCCCCACCTGAACCTGATGTCAAGAAGAGGTCAAGAAGACGGGGGGAGGGCGCAGGTGGATGGCACGGCCGAGTCCGCACCTTGGCGCTCCATTCCACACCCGCTGCTCCGTACAGCAAATGACCAGGATTGTACCCAACAACAAAAATGGAGGGCGGCAGGGTCCCCAGTATGCGCCAGGACTGCCGGCAACTGGGTCTGTCACCGCACCCCGAAACGTTGGCATTTATTATGGTGCGCATTCCGATAACGTCCGCCAGAATCCGATGTGGCCCCCGTGTTGGTCCAACGAATCTACCGCGTGGCCGCGTTTTGGAGTCACGCACACACAGAGTGAGAGAGAAGGTGCAGGCGGCTTGGTTCTCAAATACACGAGGGAGTGCCACTAAGCAGGCCTGCGCCCTCCCCGCCTCCGACCTTCTTGACTCTGTCTTGACACTGGGTCCAGGTGGGGAGTGGGGAAGAGAGGGTGCGGCAGATGCTGCGCAAGTCCACTATCAACATAAACTAATTCACGGTTGACATCGTCGGAATCGATGGTCGAACTTTCAAGCAGGTATGGACCTATTAGGTCACATGCGTATCTGCGAGAACGGAATTGCCCACAGTCCTGACACGCCTAGCACCTTTCGCACGCCCACCATGCCTAGATCAAGTCAGCCCGCCGCCCAGCACGTCCACCACCATCAGCCTCACCACGCTCAGCACATCTCGCACACCCACCGGCCCTAGCCCGAAACACCTCATCGTCCAGCGTGTCCACAATCAACAGCTGCACCACTGCCACCATCTCCGAAACTGTCGCTAACACCGCTGACTTTTCCTGTCTACACCGTTCCCGTAAATTCACCTCACACTTCGGCCTAGTCCGTCACTTGCGAATCCATGACACAGAGATTGGCGAACCAATGCCTGGGGCGCCAACCCACACACGCCTCATCCGCCTCAACTGACCCCGCACATTCAGCCACCGCATGACCTTATAAGGTCGCATGCGCACGCACGAAAACCTGCGGTGGACAACCGCCGGTTGAACCACACCATTACATCTTCCTCCACCTACGTCACTCAACATCATCACCCGCCACAAGCATCCAATTGCCACCTCCCCCGCAAGTGGGAGGTGGGCGTCTGGGCCCCGTCTTCATGCTGCATCTTTGCTGCATCTGTGAGGTTATCATGGCACGCCAAGCGCTGTTGCTTGGGAGGCTGCTGGTTGACGCCCCAAGTCAGCGCACGCCGTCTGCCCATTTGTGCGTGTGTCTGTTTGGAGTGGCGGACTAGTGGGCTGAGGGCCAGGCTCAAACGGCCCCTTCTTAACGTGACCTACGGCACCCTCACACATGAGATGTACGCTGCCCTACCTCCGTTGTGTGAAATCCTGGTGCTTGTGTTTCGGGCGGGGGGGGGGCGTGCAGACAAGGTCATTAGATATGTCAGCCACCGCGCCCATTCCCCGCACGTCTCAACTTACCGACTCGCATCGCGGCTGGGACCTGGGAATTGGAAGGGAGAGTGAGGTCGACGACTCAGTGTATTTTCCCCAGTATAAACAATCAGACGCGCCTGAAACTATAACGGTGCGCTAAAGCCGTGGCTTTGAAGCTTGCCAACTGACGCGGTAGTTTAAACCTCGCAGTCGACTCATTGCTCTGTTTGTGTGGAGCGGCCGACTGGTGGTCTAAGAGTCAGATTACAATGACTCCTTAATGTGACCTTTATAGCACTCTGAATCCGTGGGATCCGAACCAGGTGCGACGGCACGCCTGGGTACGGCCTCGGCCGCGCCATCCCCTTCTGTTGTTGGTTAAAATCCTGGTCATTTGCTGTGTGGACCAAGGGATGTGGAGTGGAGCGCCAAGGTGCGGACTCGGCCGTGCCATCCACCTGCGCCCTCACCGTCCCCGGTCTTCTTGACCTCGTCTTGACATCAGGTTCAGATGGGGGAGGAGGGAGTGCAGTAGGTGCTGCGAAAGTCTGCTGCCACTATAAACTAAATCACGTATAAGTCACCGTGCCTGCTTCACCTTGCCCTGGAACACATGGCGGACATCGTCGGATGTGACGGTCGAACTGTTAAGCAGCCATTGCAGCCTGACTCTCATTGTATCAGTCGGCCACTCAGCACATAAACACACCTCCATCCTTCTTGTTTATTCTTCCATCTGCTCTTCTTCAGCCGCAGACACCAGTACAGAAATGTAGAGGTAAGTGGCCCAGAGAGGGATGCTAGGCCTGGCAGCCATCCTAACAGTCGTTCTAACTTTCTTAATCAAGGTTACTTGTATGTGCGTTGGTGGAGTAGGCGTCTCGCCAGCTGTTTTTGTGCGAAATTTGACGCGCGCAATAGTGTTTGAGCATCTGCTTCTGAAGTAACGTGACCTATCAAGTTCATCACTTCCCTTCTGAGAGCCTACAACTTATATGTCATCTAATGATAGACTAGCCCCCGGTTTATTACCACTGCCCTATTTTCGCAGCGCAGTTTGCATACATGCGTCCTTTTAAAAATACGCCCTTCAACAACTGTCTTTCGTGCTAACACCGCATCATAATTTCTAATAATTTGGTTTTTCCCCGAAAACCAAACTGAATTTGAGGGTGTGGGATCCAACCAAAAAGGCAACAACGACTGGATAAACTCGGGAACTCTACAGTTGTTGGCACTGTAGGCTGTAGCTGGATCTTCCGATCATGACTTCGTCCACGATCCGTAAAATATCGACCAAATCGGCTAGAGAAGACGGCAAAAACCGTTGGACCAGAGTTTCGACTTCAATGGCGTAGGTCGCAGACGTCGGCGAGATTTATAACCGTTGACACTTCCTACAAAGTCCTTGACCAGTATCCTTTTCAGACGTTTGGAAAGTGTACTGGACGCTTGAATGAGACCCACCCAGGCGGATAGAGAGAGGAGTTTGGATGTCCTGACCCGATAGAAACACTGCTGTTCAACTTCGTTTCCGCCGCGACTAGCAGCAGCAGCAGCAGCAGCCGCCCGTCCTGTCCTGGTTCCAACGCTCGATTCGTTTGTCGCGACTCCCTGTGATGGATCCTGTCGCCAAACGGTGTGCGAGAAAAGTGATCGATATGATCAAGACCTAATATCGCCTTAAGTGCGCCCGCGTTCCATGTTCACTCAGTTATTTGGCAAGCACAGTCGGTGACAGATCTCATGAAATGTTCACGGAAATTCTGGAATGCGTTTGCGATTAGGATGGAGTACCTAAGTGGGGTTGTAAAGCTATATATCGTGCAACATAATCCTACAATATTTCGGACACTCCGGGGTCCTGACTTTTGAATGCACTTCTCGGCCGCCTGCAAGATCTACACTCGGCAAGAAATGACTACACACTATCCTTACTGATTTTCGATGCCCTCATAAAGCCAAATATATTTTACAGGAAACACGCTCAAAATATCCGTCTTCGCACTCATCCGGTGGCAAACCACATTTTATTTAAATTTTATACTCAAGAGAAGAGTACGTTTAAGTTTTAAAGAAGTTTAGAGTTATGAGACTCTTTAAGACCGTTTCATGTCTATGGCATCGTTTCTATCGGTTTATTAAAGCTTTCCAGGAGGTATACGGCACGGTCTGCACCCATTGCAAAATTTTATGAGCCCTGTATGTTATCTTCTGAATGTTATAGAGGAGTGTATGAGATTCATTACACGGAAAGTGTACAGCTTGTAAACTGGAAATCCTGAGCGCAAATACGACAGCAAATCTGGCCTAAAAGTATTCGGGGACCGAATAACTTCATTTAAACCTAGACATGCCCTTCCTGTGAGTATAAAATTTGAAGGCGAGGTGATTTGCCACCAGAATATCTTTGCATTTTTCATAAAATATACTTGAACTTTCTAAGGACATCGAAAATCAGTAGGAATAATGTATCCTACTTAAGTAGTCACTTTTTACCGAGTGCGGTCTTTACAGGCGCATAAAAAGAAGTGCTTTTAAAAGTCAGAATCCTGGCGTATCTGGAGTGTTATGGGATTATGCTGCACACTAATCGATGTTACAATCTTCCTAATCGAAACGCACTTCAGAATCTCGGTTGCCATTTTATGATACCGGTCAGTGACTGTATGTGTCCTGTCACACCTGCTTACTTATGTCATTAACTGGACTCTCTTGAGTTTTACACGCGACTAACCTGACAAACCAACCTAGACTGCGCTGACGCCACGTGTCTGAGCGCCACAACTCTGACTGCTTCCTAGCTGTTTTGCTGCCTTTTGCAGCAGTCCGTGCCCCTGCGAAGTCTCGGTGTGTCCACGAGAGGGCAGACGACCTGCAGAAGATTATCCGGAATATCTTACTGCAACCCCATTTCTTCGTCTGCTTTCACCTTTTAGAACTTGCTGTTTTCGTGTAATAAAGGCGATCCGACACCCAGTATGTGGACTACCCTCAGACCATGCCTGATTGGTGTCCGCATTTCTTCACCCCGGACTTCTTGCTAAGCAACAGCTTGCACCGAGCTTGGTCGGTGGCATTGTATTTGTTTGGCATTTGCCTAGTTCTGATCTTAAATGGTTAAGCAGCCGAGAGGTGACATAAAGAAGCCTTAGGAGGCGACGGCAGTTAGTTCACCGTCTTATGCGAATTGTTTCACAGCCGCAATGAATGCTAGCCTTTTATAAACACCTACGCATTCCTACCAATCCGGCATACACCGCGCACAATCGTAGCTTCACTGATGGTGAGTACCTCGTGCAGTCGAATTTGGCCTGAATTCCTTCGTTAGCGCGTGTTCCGGACAGCTATACTGAGCCACTTGGTGCGCAAAATCTCTTGTCGGTGTCGTTAAGCTCCAGATTGACAGGCCTGTTATAAAACATGCGCTGCCAGACTTGTTTGGAGGTGCATATCACTAGCTTGTTGTTCGGCCCATATAGTGGCACGAACCCGCTCCGCGCTTCGCGTCAGTGCTAGTTTTTGATAGCCTTTTTCACTCTCAGAGGCCATAGGACGACTCCAAACAGGCGACCTACCGTGGGCATCTAAAAAGGGTGCTCGCCTGGTGCATACCTCTAGGCTTATTCTCAACCTTCTACTTGTCTAACTTGCACTCCTGAACTTTGCTCTAAGTTATTTCGCGTAATTTGGCTCGCTGTCGGTATAACACAACTTCATTCCTCCGTGACTCCATCCTTGTCTTTTGTTATTTAGGGCACGACAAATCATCCGAGGCACTGGTCCGTGGCCGTTAAATTGCTAAAGCGACTGACGAGTCACTCCCTTACATCCCGAAGTGCAGACCTCATTCTGGTCGATTCTCGGCTTACTGTATACCTAATTTCATTTCCATAATGCCTCCACTCGTTTCTATGCAAACTTCTATTTTTCTACACTCATGCACTGGTGGAGGTGACTTTTGAGTTCTCCCCATTTAACATCTGAGAACACTAAACCATAGAGAATCGCAAGCTGACGACCAAAACATAATGAGAAAATTAACAAACAGTACACCCTTTGGTGATGCTAAAAACTATATGCTATTTAGGAACGGCTAATGACACTGATTATGATTTTACATTTGCAGCCAACTTCACTTAGGCTCCAATTTGTTTGATTTCTATTACCAAACATACATTCCGCTATTGTGTAATGATGTTATCTTGCCAATTCATATCTTTTTCCCACAAGAAATCATGCACACACTCACGATTATGTTTTTTTATCGTCCGCTGTTTCCCGCACATCAATCGACAGGAAAATCCGCTATTTTATGAGTTGCCTTGTTTGATAACAGACTTTTGATTTGCTACACATTAACATTTTGAAGCGTGGTTCCCGCTTGCTGTGGTTTGTTATTTCTTGTGTGCAAAACCTCGGAGGGTGGTTGTTATATTTCGCGTCAGTCCACACGCTCTTCTTGCCAGCTTGTTTACATCCGTCTTCATCGCCTGTCGAGAGCAGTCGTTTTTGCAAGCAGCACGGTTGTACACAATGAACTGGATTACAACAACACTTTTGAGTGACGCATCACCCGAGGCTAACCATTCGGGAGTATTCCCCAAAGCAGCGTTTTCCGATGTCCAGCGGTTATTTTTGTCATTGGAATGGTAATGTACTCACGTGCTCTCGATCTGAGTTATATCACAAGGTATGGGACGCCTAGGCGGGCTGAGAGACTGAGTATCTGGATGCCGCCAGGCTTAGCGAAGAGGTGATGTACTGGTAACTCCTAACTTTTCTGGCATTCGGTTCTTCTGGAGATAGTGGCAATAAACGCATGCTGCAAGCGAACCTTATTAATTCTCCCCAACATGCCGCACAGCATCTACGCATAGTTACATTCGACCAGGGGCTAAGCGTCTGTTAAGTGATAACAAAGTAGACTTTATTTTCGTTGCCCAGTGTTGGGATCACGTAAGTAGCCGTTCTGTTGTTTACAGTTAAAAGATGCAAAGAAGGGAGAGGACGTCATGAAAGCCCACAGAGGTCGCGAGGATCACAGCGTGCATGCAAAGTCAGGGGCGAGGGCCCTCTACAGGGGCCTAACATGGAAACAAAAGGTCTGCCTAGAAAACTTTATCGGATCACAGATGTTTGCCAGTGGTGTCGATGAGTCTGGGAGCCGCTGACCGAGTGGCAACAGGCCAATCAACCCCCGCACCAGAAAATGACCTGTCCGTATGAAGGCAATCGACCCAGTGAGAGACTGCATGCAGGCCTTGAAGGGGGACGCAGCGTCGACGCCCTTATGATTACTCCGGTTACCTACAAAAATCTAAAAAGGGAACGGGGAATGCGAAGAAGATAGCAGCAAACAAACAAAATGCGCAAATATGTGAATTATTGCCCGCAAAAACACCTATGCCCATGAGGAAGAGGATGTAGGGCAGCTCAGGCTTGACTCAAATAATCCGTGCCAGGCAGGATCTTGTTGCAGTTTTCATAGCTTTCTCTGAGCATCTCCAGCACGGCTATCTATTGCTGCTGAATACGTGCATAATTGTGGTTTGTTCTCCCAGAATAACTTGTGCTAAAAAGGGCTGGTTCTGTAATATGAAAACTAATTTTCATATCAACGTATGGGGACCGACGTTGGTATCTGGAAAAACAGTTATCGAAGCTCAGTAAAATATCTGGCTGAAACCAGGTTCAGGTTCGTCCTGGAGAAAGACAACCGAAGGGACATAAACCAACGCTAATTCAGAAAAAGGTAGAATGCAGACTGCAAGGAGTAATCGGCGCGAGAGGCTGTTAAGCCAAACGCCTGCCGGTCACGAAGTGACTTGCATGAGAAGTGTTTGTGGCAGTCGACGCAAAATTGGAATCTCTGTGCTCGAGGAGGAGCATAATACGGGAACACAGTAATTAACGGACGGTCAGCTGGAGCATGTGTCCACTCGCAATTCTGGATAAACGTCCTGATTCCCAACAGCAGTCAAGGGTAAAAGATGGGTGTGTATGAGGCTAGAGCTGAAAAGTAGCAAGGGTAAGAATCAACAGTAGACGCGCGACCACGAGATTTTAGTACGGTAAATTATAAAATCTGCCAGGATTTCCACAGTTTCCTGGTGGCAGCTAGCAGTGATAACTGTCAAAAGAAGAAGAGGCGGTCACCGGGAGGGGTTTACTGGAGGTCCGACGTTTCGAGTAGTTGGTTCGTCTACCCATCTTCAGAGACCGGAAAGTCCTGCGCACAGCTCTCCCTTATATGGCGCACTTTGTTCAGTGCGTGACCCGCCAATGCCACCTGTGTGGCTGCATCCAACCTGCATGCCACCGTGACCTGAATCGCTCCCGTCGACCGCGGAGATGACTGACGGCCCCGATTATCCCGCGTCGTGACTGTCCCCCGTTAAGAAGGTTCGTGAAGTCAGATAGGGGGGAGGCAAATTGATGTGGCGTTTGACAGAGCAGTCAGTGGACATCCAGGCTTCTTGCATTTGCCTTGCTGTATGATCACCGCCCCGGCCCACAACCTCAACGGCCTCAAAGTTGAAGATGTGTCCCATTTGCGCGGCATGGATTGCTACCTCCGACTTTGGGTCCAACCTTCGCACGGCCAACTTATGCTCGTGCATTCGCGTTTGCAGCCGTTCGCGGGTTTTCCCAACGTAGTTGCACCTTCTGCAGCTGCGTTGAAGTCGGTAGACAACGGCCGACATCTGCTTAGGGAGCGGTGACCACCTCTTCTTCTTTTGATATGCCACCTGCGAATCGCATTTTCACTACTGTTGAAGTGATAGCCGTACCCCAGGACAAGCAGGAGTCAATCTTGTCATCTGGCTTTTAGCGTATTCGTTCTCTAGCGTATATTCGCCCGTTCACAATTACCCATCACCGGACACCGGAAGCCGCCTGCATCTCGGAGCCAAACGTGACGGCGCGCATTCAAATACTGCTCTAGCTGTCAACTTACGCCTTTCTGTCCCTTGGCTGGTCCGTTTATGAAGAAAGTGGCACCGTCACTGAGTGAACTACCGGTCACCAGCTGCAGTTTTTCATCGAATTGGTAGACACCCAAACCCATCCAAAGGCGGTATAGCACCAGACCCTGTTCAAATTCTTGTAGGTAGGCGAAGTGTACTGGTTCCTCGGCGGCATTAATGCAACGTTTTTCGTCGGGATCTGAAACGGAAAAAAAGGAAATTGCGAAAAAAAACAGCTAACGTAGGAGACAGCAACGATATTCCATCAGCGCATAACTTGTCTCTCAGCAGGCATCAGATAGAGTGGGCGACTGATTGGATTGTCGCCACCTGCTGTCTGGCATTTCACCCGGTAATTCACATCAGAGCCAGGATATATAGATAGGAATCCTGTGCCCGAAGAAAACCCTGACTGACTAACAAGCTGGATGACCTGCACCCGCATATCTTGTAAAGATGACTAATTTCGGACTCCAAGTCAACTCGGTACTAAGCGACTGAGCCTACGGAGGACGGAGAACCTCAAGAAAGACGGGCCAACGTCTGTAGAAGTTGTGAAAAATCGACTTGGCTACGGAAGACAGGGTGTGGAGCACAAGTTCACTTTTACCTTCGAGCCTCAGAAACCGATTTGCAGTACTTTTTGAGTGGGGGAGGAGAGGGGGGGGGGGTAGACCAAAGGTGGAGCAAATAAAGTGGGGTGTGAAGATTGTTGAATTCATGCCAGAACGTCATGGCAATTGCAGTAAGCTTCTAAGAAGGGTGTAAAATCAGTGCGCATTTGCGACAAATGCATGCGGCAAAACCTGAATCCACACATTGCCAAAAAACCGTTTTATGGTATTTCATTTATCCCAGTCAGTCGTGACAATCTTCGGTAATTCGTTTGTGGTTGGGATAACGGGCTTTAGTGGTAGGGGTTGGTGGGAGAGTTTTCAGCGGTTTGACTTGGGCAGGGAATAATGACTGGAAGTCTCTCCGGTAGGACAGGCTAGGGAGGAGATAGACGGCGGAGCGCGGTACCTGATGGTTAGGCATGACGGCAGAGTATCCAGGCTGCGTACCCGCCCAACTGAATGCTCCATACAGTGCTCCATGTCCGGGTCTCCAATGCCACGCGGATATCCGATCCGGTAAGGTCCCTTGGTGATATTTGAAGTTACAAGGGCTGGAAACAAGTAGCTTGCTAGTTTGGAGTGCTGTAGGCGTACCCTGTGACCTCAACATTTCAAAGTTGTTGGACATGAGAGCCAATTTTAGGACCATCGGGTGCTCGGCATCCGTTCATGCCACTTTACGCCTAGGACTTCCAAAAGCAGCCGAGATGGCACTACCATCATCGCCATCACCACCACTTCAGATTTACGTTCGTACAGGCTCGAACACAGGCACTACGGTACTTTGCCTGAAGAGTTGCTTGAACTTTGAGGAAATGTGTTTGAGAACCAGGTGGTATTTGTCGTCCATACACGATTTTTTGAATGCCCTGTACCAATTGCAAGGATGTCCACAAGAATAGTCTTCAGACACGTTCGCGTGTTTCTTTAAACCTTGCGTTGCTGGAGTTGATACGATGGAATTCTATGAACTCGTTAATTCACTAAGACCCCTGCCTACCTTCCCTCAAGTCCTCCTAGAGACATACACGTCTACCACCTTAGACGAGGCTGACGGCGATAATTGGTGAAGGGCGTGACAGCATTGTTTGACGGCAGTACAGGATGGCCTGTTGGGTAACGTGGTTGTCTAATTAAAACAAACTCAATGTATCGCAGGCGGGAAAGATCGCAGCAGTAGTCAGAGCGAGGAGCATGTGATTATGCCAC